TCTGACCTCCTGGGATTAACACAGAGAAGTTATTTCTCAGGTGAGTAGCACTTCAGATCACTCGGGCAGAAGAGATGAAGCTGTCCACCTAGTATGGAGGGTCCCTGGGGAGAAGAGCAATTCTACACATTTTAGCAAGGGTACTGTTGCCAGCTGCAAGGAGAGCACAAGACACTGCATTTATTCAACAGACCCTTGACCATAAAGTGTACTCCCTGCCAGGTGCTCTAGAAAAATCCTCATCTCTGCCTTCAGGGTCTACCCAGACAGGAGCTCTGCCTTAGGTAGCCATGGAATTAGAGCAAATCCTCCCAAGTTGATTTTGTAGTCATCAAAGCAAATTTTTCAGTCAGGTAAGAGAGGAACAGAGAAAAAACAACTTTCATTTTGGCCCTGGAATGGGTGTCCTAGATGTTTTGGTTCTTGCCTTTGTAAAGCAATCTTTGAACCTTTTTTTTTTTTTTTCCCCAGTTTGGGAGAAGTGGCCTGTGACAAAGTCTGAGCGAGGCAGGAAATGCTCATGGCATCTTTGCCCCCGTGATGAACACGGCTTCACCCAGACTCCACTGGCCATGGCTGATTGGAGGGATAAAACTGCCCAGTCTCTTGGGCCTCTTGAAAAAGTTTTGACACAAATTTGACCTTTGTAGGTAAGCAGCTAGAAGGCAGAGGCCATGCAGTGTGAATTTCCAGGCTAGGGGATCCCTTGTCCAGCAATTGGGGTGAAGCATGTCCTTGCCTCTCCCTCTGTACTGCCTGTGAGCTCCTGAAGGGACCCTGGGCCCTGGTTGGTTTCAAGCCTTCATCAGATCTTACATCTTTCATATCTGGCCAGGTGCCATGCTGTCCTTCTCGTGACAATAGTTTCATGGGGAGCTTGCAGGATATGTACACAGAGGTCTGAGTGATTGCAGCTCTGCTTAACCAGGAAAAAGCACAAGAAAGAACTGGCCCCTGTGTCTTGGCTACTCTAAGGAACACGGGCTCCCTCGAGATATGAAGAGCATCTGAAGTTGTGTGGTGTGGATTGTAATCCATTCCTGGCACATTTATGGCTGCCTTCCTGGCAGGTTTGCTGGAAAGTTGGAGACTTAATGCTTTGAAGCCTGGCTCAAGGATGAAACACTAGGCTTGACCACTGCTATGGTGGCAGAATGTGTGGGTGCTCTGGGAAAGGAAGAGTCCTCCCCAAGTGCCCTTGAGCCTGAGCTGATCAGAGGCCACGAGCCACAGGCATGTGAGAAAGTGTCCTGGTGGAAGCCAGCATCACCTAAAGATGCAGCATCACATGTGGTGAGAGGACCCGCCTCCTCTTTCCTTTGCACTCAACACCAATAGATTTGCCCCTGAATAAAAGGTACTTAGGAAGACTGCATTTGAAGCAACCTCACCTTCACCAAAATTAATTTTGTTTTTGGTGCACACTTATCCCTCAGCTCCAGGACACCCACAGCGGCAAGCAGCGGCTGGACCTGACTTTGGAGAGCCTGGCTTGGAATTCCCACTCTGGTCCCACGGAGCATGACCTGTCACCCTGCAGCCTCTGCACCGGCTCCTCACCAGATGTGTCCTGCTTGTGTGAGACGTTTGCTTTGGTGAGACACTGTCCCTGGATGCTGCTGGGGGCCAGGGAGGACCCTCTCTGTTTGCACCTGGCTGAGAAGCTGATTCGCTAAATTTTCTACAAAATTAATGTGCGGAAAGTTACAGTCTCTTTGAATGACAACACTGAATTCATACCATCTGGACTAGACTGAATTTTTTGGGGGGGAGGTCCTGGGCACCGTCAGATGGATGGGAACTGGTTCCCTGAACCACATTCCCAGGATAGCAGAGAGGCATTTGGCTCTCATTCCAGCAAACGAGATTAATATACATTGAAAGGCTAGGCAGGACATCCATTTCTGCTGGTCTCATCCACACATGTCAGATTAACGTTATTTATAGGTTGTCTATTTAATCCCCAAGTGATCTTTCTGTTATGGAGGAGGCTGGGTGATTACATGCAGGCCCAGAAGTAGAGGTGTCTATTCAAGTGGGCTGCAGCCCTGGCACCCACAAGCGGACACGTGCCCCTGTGCTCACACTACTCTAGGTCACGAGCTAGCAGGCAGCTTGGCTACAGCTGTGCCTGGGTCAGGCCCCCGTCCAGTCACCAAGCAAAGACTGGACAGGAGCCAGAGACAGGACTTCAGCTTTACTGGCTGCCTGCCGCTCATATTGAGTTTGGACACCCCCTAGCTGCATGGCTAAAGGTCTAGGGAATTGTACTCCCTCTGCAATCTGAGCACACCATGAACACCCAAAGTCAAAGTGCAGAAGCAGAACATGAAGCCTCTGTGTGATGCACACGGGACAATCCTCTTGCTCCTAATTTTGTCCTGCTTGTCCTCAGGAAGTTCCTTCCTCCCTTGGGTGTGTGATTTTAGGTGAGGCCTTATTTTCCTTTCTTGGGAGGAGCCCTCCCAAATTGTGGGAGCTGGTGGGAAGGCAGGACCCCATTTACAAAATTCTGGCTTATTCAGCCTTTCAGGCACTCTTGCATCTGGCCTCTGTCTCCCTATCTACCGCTCTCCTTGTTCCACCCTCAACTCATAGTGACCGCCGCTGTCTGCTTTGGGCAAGTTGTCCCTAATTTGGGACAGTCTCTTTGCCACCAAAACAGTCCTCCCCTCTTGGGTCTTAGCTCAGATGCTACTTTCTCAGCAAAGTGACAAAGGTTCAGAGGAATATTTTCTAGCACGTGATTTCCTAGCTCCTTCTACTTTTTTTTTTAAGGATTTATTTATTTATACATACAGAACTGGGGTATTTATTTATACATACAGAGGTGTGGTGTGGGGTGGGGTGAGAGGATTCGCCAGAGACAGAATGGGGAGCAGAACAGCCACAATGACTGAAATATACTGCTGAGGGGAGCAGTGGGTGGGTCAGGAGAGGTCTGCCACCACTTGTGGGGTCAGCTTCCTGGCGGGGTATGGAACTCTTGCTGCAGTGGCTTTAGAGAGCTCCACAAAGCTGTGCTTTAACACATCGCGCCACCAGGGAGAGCCTTCCTTCTACTTTTGCTTCCTAATATTATCATCCTTTGCAGTCACATAATCGTATGATGGCTGGTCTGAGAGGAACAAGAGCCTCCGAGGCCTGGCCTTGCCCATGCTGCTCACCACAGTGTGAGGTCACCCCTATGTCCCCCTGTGCAGAGACCCAGATGCTCATGAGCATGTATAGAGTGACTGGATGAGGCAGTGGGCAGGTTCTCTAACAAGCAGGAGTGAGGGGACAGGGCTTGTGTGCTCTGCATTCACAGCGCCTCGCCCCCTCATCTAGGACCTTGGCACACAGTATATGTGGCTCGTGGACTCATAAGAATGGCCAGATTGGTCTGAGTTCCCCTTAACTATCTCCACTTTGAAGGGGTGGTGGTGGTATTGAGGGAGTGTGGCCTTTATATAAATTTTCCCAGGTGGATTTAAGCAGGGCAAGCACCTATGAACTTAGGTTCATATCACAGTGCTGGTCCCTCCCAGCCCAATAGGGGCACCAGTTGAGAGAGAGACCCAGGGGTGTGAAAAACATGGGGGAGAATGCCCCGGATGGTGTGAGGATGAGGTGAGGCTGTGCACTGGAAACAGGCACAGTGTATGTCATGGGGGCCATCTGGCTGGTACCAGTTTTCCAGTCTGAATTGTACTCATAAGCGACATCATCAACGGACATCTCAAGCTCTTCAGATGAAGAGATGCCCCAGAACTCTCACCGAGGGAGCACTGTATTCTTTAGAGTTCCTCACTAAAAAACTACAGTTCAGGCCACCAAAGCTGCCACTCTGTCAGAGTTTTGTCAGAAGACATATTACCGTTTATAAAGGTAACCTTCCTGGGCTTTCCCTGGTGGCGCAAAGGGTTAAAGTACCACATTAGGAAGCTCTCCAAAGCCACAGCAGCAGGAGTTTGATCCCCTGCCAGGGAGCTGACCCACATGGCCTTGCAGACCTTTCCTGACCCGCCCGCTGCGCCCCTCAGCATTGCATTTCAGTACAGCTGTCTGTTCTGCTCCCCACTCTGTCTCTGGTGACTCTTCTCATCCACCACACCTCTGACCTGTACCCCAGTTCTGTACACATAAATAAATCTTAAAAAAATAAATAAAAGGTAACCATCAGTGAGTCCCTATTTGTATTATAGGCATTGAAACTTGGCTTAAAACTCTATGTAAAAGAGTCATTTATGACAGTAAACCACCCCCCTTCTTTCCCATGGTTTCCAGCTTATTTTGGAGAGAAAAGTTAACAGAGTTTCAAATCAACTGAAGTGAAAATATTAAAAAAAAGCTCTTAATCACCACAAACTGGTGTATTGTTCATTGTGATTCTTTTCTGAGGATAGTCCCTGGCGGTTTTGAAAACACAGCTGCAGTCCTCCCTCCCTCCTTTCCTTCCTTCTGCAAGGCTGAGAAAGAAGGAGCCCCAGGAATAGCAGACCCTCAGGCTGTTCTTTAGTGAGAAGTTCTCAGGCACAACTTTAAGTGCTATTGGAAAGTAAGACTCCTCTGCAATTATGAACTGTGCATATGGATTCGTGACACCGAGGAAAATAACTGCTCGCAAGCAGTGAAGAAGGCGATATTCTCTACAGATCTTTCCTCCAGATTTAAATTCTGGAGAAAGGTTTCTCTTTCTGGTGGCCAGCCTTAATGGTAGCAAAGGCTTTGCGGTGCTAGCCCTTTGTGACTTTGTGCATTCCACTGATGCATCATCCATCTGCTGTGCGTTTCTAAGCTTGTACTGAGTACACACCCCTCTTATCAGGGCTTAAAGTAAGAAGGCAAAGAAAGAAGGCATGTGATCTCCATTCAAACACATCTACTTGCCTCTCTTTGAATGGGGAGGGTGGGAAGAGGGGGAGATCCTACCTTTTTAGCATCAGAGAGGAAGCAAAACCAAACTGGAGAATCTCAAATTTCTACTGAAGAGTCAGGTTTATTTTTACTAAAAAGTCTCCTTTTCAAATAAAGGGATAAAAAATGAGTATAGTCAAAGAAGGATATTTTATATTTAGTCATTTTGCAAGAGATGCAGACAAGGGAGAACCTTCTAGAATGGCACAGGGTAATCTTAAGAGACGGTGCCGGAGGTTAATGTCCAGAATTTCATAGTCAGAAGTGTACAAGGATACTACTGGCAGGAAATAAAGACAAACTCAGATCCTCGAACCCCTCACTGCAGTGAACATTTTTGTTCCTCCCATCATTTTAAAATATAACAGGAGTCTACTGGGTTCCCAAATAAACAAGCATTATGAGGAAACAGCCCAGCCAATGTGACCTCACTAACTCCCAGGTACTGCTGACCGATTTGAAATATATGTTAGAAAAAGAAGGAAAAAGTACATATTTGCTTGGGAAAAGCGTGGAAAAATTCCACAAATAATTCAAAATTCAAACAACACAAGATCATTTTTTTTTTTTCATATCAGAACAGGCACTCTAAACAATTTTTTTTTTTATTACTAACAAAGTCCTCTTCTTGAACATGGCAAGAACCCTGCCTTAAGGAAGTTTAATTTCTCAAGAATGAGTTTTCATAAATTAATGGTCTTTAGTTTTCCCCAAATGTAAAGCACCTGTCATGATAATTAAAATGGAAGCAGCTGTCTATACCAGGGAGCTATTTTACTCAAATTTCCTTATTCAAAATGAAAAGAAGAAAAACCAAACAAACAGATCTTTCCAGTAACAAAAGCTGACCTGAACCTGAAGGTGTATAGGATTATGGGAAACAAAGGCCTTGAGTGGCAGACATGTTGAACTTAACTCACCACACCTAAACACATCATTTTAAGCAACTGTAAAGAGATTGTATTTAAAAACATCTTTCCAACACTCCTGTTGGGAAAGCAGAACATTGGTGAAAATTCTCGCCTATGTCAGGCTTGAATTGTTACCTGCATTCCCTCTGCAGCTGTTAAACTTCAGTTCATGGATGCTTTAAGCTGTACAGCTTCTGCCCAGGCTACAAAAAACAAACCTGTCTTGAGCCTGGAGTGGGTTGTCAGAAGCCAAACTGAGCAGACTGGCTTTCTGCAATCAACTATAAGTGGTTCTGGGGCCAGACTGCCCTGTTCAAGTATCTCCAAAACATCTTCACTTTATGGGCCCGAGAATCTTCTAAATGTCTGTCACCAGGGAGCCAGCACAAAACTTGGTCACATGCCTATATCAATCATAGGGTTGACTGAATCTTTCTAATTCAGAAGAAGCAATGCCTGAAGGTGACAGGCTGAAAGTTCCTAGGCTACCTGGGATTTTAAGCAATTTTGAAGCACATCCTTTCCTGTATAAGATGTAAGAGGGAATGCTAAAGTTACCCCAAGAATTTTGTTTCAGTTCTTTAAAGTTGTCCACCTGCCTACAGAATATTTTGTAAGTTGATAGTGCCTCAACTTGAACTGTATCAAATGGGATCAGATGAGCATCTCTTCGTTACTTGATGCACTTGAAAGCAAAAAAATGTGTACATGCCAGGTTTCTTTTATTCCTTTGAATTGTTGCCAATTAACAAAGTGAAGTTCTAGTTTTGTCACCATCAGCCATCTTCATTCCAGAAAGGAATTCTATTATTTGTTTAGATGAGATTTCATTGGCTTTTCAACACTTCCCCGTGTCTGTGTCTTATTCAAATCAAGTTGTCTTTGAATACAACTAGGAGTTGGTAAGGTGACACCCACCCACACACCAGGACCACGGCTGGTCCACTTAAATGGCTTATTCCTCCGCTCGTAACCTTGGGCTTGAATGGAATCTAGAGACATTCTTGCGACGGCTTCATTTTCAGATGTGAAGAACTGAGCCTAAGGGAGGTGAAATGACTCAGGTCTGCATGTGATCTCCAAACGAATTACTTAAGATGAATACTAGAATCAAAGGAGCTTAGGAGTCCTGCTCTTCTTACAAATACGTGTATCCCTGCCAACTATGACTGTGCACTGTGAGAGTGTAGTGAGACCCTTGCTAAGAGTCTGTTCTCACAGGCAAAAGGGCAGGGGATTCATTTTCTGCTCAGTTGAAGAAAATCATTTAGTTTATTCAGCAAACAAGGGACAATCTACAGCGCTTAGATTCCTTTTAAGCAAATGACCTATGGCTAATCAATATTTCCCAGTTTTTATCCTTTAATCTCTAGGTCTAAATTCTCCAGTAGTAATTTCACCTAAATCTATGACTGTAATCACAACTGTAGATAGAAGCAAGTCTTCCTATAGTAAACAAGGGAAAAAAAAAATCCTCTTTTTTTTTTTCATGCAAACCTATGATATCTAATTAGTGTGAAAATAGTTCCCACCCCTTATCAAGATAATTGCCTCTTTCAGTGGATTTTTCAGCTTCAGGTTTTGTTGTGCAAGCATATTCTAGAAAGTGAATGCAAACAGGTTTTGTTACCCATTCATTTGTGACTTCAGTCATTATTATAACTGCATCTTGTCAACACAAATGCTGAATTATACATTATGTATCTTTCCAAGCACATTAGATAAATTTTTAAAGAGACCAGTAGGTACAATGTCACAAAATTAAACTGAGCTACAGGGTAGATTCCATAAGTTCATTTAATATTAACAGCTGAACTTAAATTTTGAAAAAGCAAGTACCTTTAATAAATTTGGTGTGAATGATCATATATTTTGATACAACTATTATACAGATGTGTGTGTATATATATATAAATCTATAGGTAGAATTATATACATTTCAATATATACTTCACATATTTTTGTATTTAGTAAAACAAAGCAGCTTTACTATAGATAGATGTGCAATGCGACAGTAAGTCCTGAGTAATTTAAGGGATCATTACTAAACTACTGTAAATTCTGGCCCCTCAGCTAAAGGCCCAGTAGATTCCATAACAAAAATGTGAATAAAATAATGTTTAAAAATATGCATTCAGTTATATGTCCATTTTGTGCTTAGCAGTAAAAGCGTGAGAATGTACAGTAGCCTTTTATATTTGGGAAAATTTTCTTAAATGTTCAAAATTAAACAAATACTCTATTTGTATGAATTTACAGAAGTTTTCGTGATGTTATGTACATCCAATTTGTCAAGCATGGAGGACTTCGGTCATGATTGAACAGAAATTCCCTTTTGCAGAATGTGAAATTCTGTGTAAACATCAGTTTTTAGGTATTATACAAAGTTCTGATTCAAAGGATAGGAAAAGAAAAAAATACAATCAAATAATTTATAATGCTTTTCTTGGGATATAGCCAGCCGCAAGGAAGGGATATACAAGATAAGAGTGCATTCTGGTGTGAGGAAACCAGATGAAAGTCATTTAAGGGAGGTCTGGTAAGTCTCCCACTTTGGGAGGTCCCAGGTTGGCTTGGCTTAGCGAGCCCAAGACAATCCAGCCACATCCATCTTGCCACAGGGGACAGACGCCACTGTGCAATAGGAAGGAAGCACTATGGGAAAAAGGCCACATTCAACTGCAATGGAACAGTAAGAGTTGCCCATTAAGGTCGCCATCAGCAAGCCAAGCATCCCAATCCCAAACTCAGGCACTAGGTATGAACTGGTGAGGTGGTCCTGGAAGGCTGCTTGTGTCGGCCTGCAGCAAGAGGGGGCAGACCCCAACCCTCGCCTGGGAGTGTGTCTTGTATCAGAGGCCAACTTCGACGAGAAGGCACTGCATTGGTAGTTCTTCTGTCACCTCCAGCTCTATCCTGTCCCATGGCTGCTGTAGTCAAAGACTCCTTTCTTGAAGAACGGTGAGAACTCACAAATGGTGTGTTTTGAAAGGGTCAGCCCCACTTTGTTGATGTGAAGGGGAGACGTCACAGATTGGAGCATCACACTGAAAAAGTCTTTGAGGTATTTCTGAGAAAGACACAAGTGTTAAAAGTATGGTCAAGACATTGTACGGTGAAGTCAAGGAGAGGAGGAGAAGAAACGTCAAGAAACAACTCCCCCTCCACCTGAGTCATCACCATCATCAGAAATAGCATATGTGAAATTCCTCCATTGCCTGAGGTATTATCAGACCAGTGAGAAGCATGGCCACGCAGATGACATAGCTTTGGCTTAGCGCTCTGGTTTATAGCAACATGGCCTCAAGCCTACCTGCAAATGATATCAGGGAAAGGCTAGCCCAGTGCCTGTTGCCAAGACTGCCTCACAACAATGTCACTGATACCCATAAATAAAAAAAAATATTTATTTATGCACACAGAACTGGCGTACAGACCAGAGGTGTGGGGAGTGAGCAGATTCACCAGAGACAAAGTGGGGAGCAGAACAGGCAGTTGTCCTGAAATATACGGAGCAGCGAGCAGGTCAGGAGAGTTCTACTGCACCATGTGGGTCACCCCTCTGGTAGGGGATCGAACTTGTGCTGCAGGGCTGTGATAGCTGCTAGTGCTGTGCATTAACCTTTGCTCCACCAGGGAGGGCCCCAATACCCTAACTTTTAAAAAAGTCATTCCCTCTCTCCCTCAAACACTCACTGATAAGTAGAAAGATGATAAAAGAAAACAAAAAGGCCAGCCATCTGTACAGTGCTAAATGTGCTGCTGATCTGCATTTTTTAAATAGCTTAGTCACTATCTGCTTCAGATCCTTCTTATAAACTAAAGGAAATGCTGGGGACTAGAAGGTCAGTTTCCAGTACTAATATTTACAAATGACTTTGCAAATCCTGTCCTCATCAATCAAAAATTCTTACTAAAGACGGATTTCTCTGAACCCTTGCTGCCCTCTTCTCCCACCAGCTACAGGTCTGTCACAGTATCAAAGGCCTTTGCTGTCATTGCACAAACAAAGCATATCCGAGACTAAGGGCCAAGATGCTGTGGACGAATTCAGATGTGGGTGCTTGCAGGATAGATCAAAGAAGAGAAAGTACACAAAGATGGTACTACAGTCAGACCAGGCAAACCTTACCCACAAGGGCAATGGATGGAGCGGATGGGGGGGCGGGGCTGACATAAACCTTCACCATCATTTCCCCTTGTTTGAAAAAGACACACAATCCTATCACCAGCTTTGAGTGTAAACACAGTAATTATGAACTCTGAATAACAACAGAACTGTTTAAGAACCATGCCCCAGAGCAGTGGTTTCCAGCAGGGGGATTTGCCCCACAGACAATACTCAGCAATGTCTTGGGACAGTTTTGATTGTCACTCTGCTAGGGAGTCACATCTATGGGTGCAGCTAACCATCCTAGAAGACAACCCCCACATTAAAAATTATTGTCTTCCAAATTTCAATAACTTCACATTTGAGAAACCCTGGCTAGAGGAAGTCGATTTCAGCTCTCTGAGTCATCGAGCTGAAATTGACATCTGAAAGACACTCTGCTGAAGAAAAATGTGTTAGCTTTCTTAAAAACAGTAACAAGGAACCTTAATAATTAACAATATTCATAATTAGCATGTAGAGCAATTTAAAGTTTCTAACAAGCTAAAGTTTTATGCTTTCTGGAGGTAAAACTGATGTGTAAGAACACGTCCTTCCAATGCACAACTTGATGAATCTCAACACATGTATGTGCCTGTGACATCACCACAGCAAGGTGATCCACATTTGCACCACTTCAGAGTTTTGCAGCTTCATGGCATCATCATACTCTACCTAGACCTGCCTCTTCTTATTGTAATGCACGTCTTCAGGTTGAGGAAACTGTTGTGGGAGAGGTAAGCAAGGCTGGTGATCAAACACAAATGTTTTTAACTCCGATTCTGTTTTCTCAGCTCAATATTCCTAATTCACAGGCCTCATGGGAACTTCTCAGAAAGGGTGTTGAAAGAGCTATCAGGTAAGAAGGTGCAAAACCAGCCCTTGAAGGATGTTCTCCAGTACTAATTTGCATCAGAGAAGAAAACCATCACCTTTCCTGGGGAAGAGAATCTGAGAAGAGCACCCTGAGAGAACGGAATTTCATCAAACATGGTTCCTAGCAGTGAGTGGAGACCTTGCCCAACTGGCCAACACTTGCAATGAGGAGCATGTGCCCGAGTGATTGATTTTTAGAAGATTTAGAAGAGAGAAATTCCCTAGGGGGAAGCCAAGGGGCTCTCACTGGTGGCAGCTGAATCCCTTTGCAGCAAAAAAGCGCCTGCCTGAGGTGACACCAGTGTCTCCTCATCAGTTTCTGCCGCAGGTCACAGACTGCAGAAACATGCAGACAAGGAGGAGGACAGTGTGCCCTCAAGATGAATCCTAGCAAAATAGAAGGTATTTAAATCAGAAACAGCTATTATGTTGACAATTGTCATAACTAGTTCACAAAACAGAGTCTCTTAAAGGTGCAATAAAACCTGAAAAGAGAAGTGAATATTAAAAAAAAGAGAAACCACTTGAGTTACCTGAGAGAGGGTCCCTCCCAGGTTATCTACATTTAAAAGGAGAACTGTAAACCAGGTCTTTTCCTTTACATGAACCGATTAGCAGGTTTTGACAAAAACCAATCTAATTTTAAACAGGACAGAGAATTTTTTTTTCTTCACAAAATAAGTTTCTGGTTAGAATTGGGCAGCCTCCGCTCCCTTTCCACAGACTTCACCCTTGGCGCAGAGAAATGTTTTATTTAAAAAGTGTTCTCTGCAGTGACCTCAGAGTGCTCCGAAGTATGAGGTGACCATGGCTTTGGTGACTATGACACAGGGTGTCTACAGTCACCTGCCAGGACATGTGATTATTCTAGGCTGCACTTTTTTTTTTTTTCTGCTGAAAGGGAAGAAAAAATGAAGGATTAGGGCTGAAAACAAAAGACAGAGCTTCCAGAAGTATCTTGAGGTCATAGACAGAATCTCCTTTGTAGGCCCCTATTAGCCCCACACACTGCAAAACCACATGAAAATGTTTAGGGGAGAACCTTGGTGGACTGGGGTCTACACAGAAAAAAAATGGTATATGAGTCATGAGTCTAATCAATTTCACAACATGAACACATGTCAAAGGTAACCACAATCCTGACCGCTCCCAGTTTTTGAACTGCATATTGATGGGATATCCACAAGATATTACTTTTGTGTACTCGGTGTCTGCTTAACAAGGTGTTTGTGAGATGAAAGCACATTAGTGGGTGTGGGTGCAGTAGCTCGCACGCCTGAGACATGTGGGATTGGTTCCAGACCACCACACAGGACATACTGCAATAAAAGTGGGTCACATGAAAGCTTTGGTTTAGCAGTGCATATGGAAATTGTTTACACTATGCCAACTTTACTAAGTATGCAATAGCATCCTGCCTTAAAAAAAAAAAAAAAAAAGCAGAACATGCGTCTTAATGTGACACACAGTGAGCACGAGCTGTTGAACAAAGATGCCCAGACTTACTTGATGCGGGTTGCCACAATCCTTCCATTATAAAATATATATATACTAACCGTGAAGCGTAGTAAAGTAAGGTGCAATAATCTGAGGTGTGCCTGCATTTCACCCATTGACGAAAGCAGTGAGGCATGCCACAGTCACTGCCTTCCTTGGTCGTTGGGTCTGAGCTCTTTTTATTAATGAAATCTCCTTCCATAAAATGATGCTCGGTGAGGTAAGTTTATTGCTATCCTTTCCATAAAGAAGTTTCCCCTTAAGGTTTTAGGTTCAATCCAAGATCAGTCAAAGAACTAGAACTGTGCTGTTATAGATCATGAATATAAATTACAATAATATATAAACTGCATACTTAAATACATCCATTTACATGAGTCATTTTTGTTACCTGGACTCAGATGTTTGAGCAGCTGCAGGTGAAGGGAGAATTAAAGTTCTCTGTCAAAGATATCCCAGCCCTCCCTGTTAGTGAAGTAAGTCCAGGAGCTGAGCTGCTTCCCTAGGGCAGTACACTTTATAAAGAGTATTACAAAAATTGAAGAACATTAGGAGTTTAAATGGCTTATCAGGGTCAGAAGGGCAAAGGAGGAAAAGGATTTGTGAAATCCAATATCCAATTTCTGTTTCTTTTACATGACATTTTCTCCATTTAAAAAGGAATACTTAAATTTCTGTACTGTGGGGGTCACAGAAGGCCTGCAAACCCTTGCCCCACCGGTGGCGAGTGTCACACCTGCTTCTTTGCTTTGCTCAACACCCTGGATCAGGGCCAGAGTGAAGCAGTCACACCCCTGGGGCTCTGCACATTGCAGCCCTGCCTTGGATTCAAGAGGCTGAAAGTCAGCTTAGCCCAAATCCTCTTTTAATAAGTCTGAAATCAGGAAACAAATGGCGGGGTAAAAGGGGCTTCACGGACAGCCTCTGGTGTGTGAGAGATACAGGGAAAGGAGAGGGCAAAGAGAAGAAAGGAGGCCACGGAGATGGATGGGCTGGCTGGGGAGGGCGAGAGAGGAGGACTGAGACAGAAGAGGTGGGAAGCAAGGTAATGGGTGTGGCCATGTGGGAGACCAATGCTGACTTTGCTGTTTTCCAGGTTCAGAAAACAGATTTAAGAATAATAAGAAATGTTAGACATTTATTTTCCTAGGTTACTTACTTTTTGCTATGTGCACCAATACTGAAATGTAAATTGTCTTCTTAGCCATACTTTCAGAAAATCACATTTAGATGGCTAATCTCTAAGGCATATTTCAGTACGAAGGGTACCTTGATTTCAAAAACCTTTTTTTTTTTTTTTTACAGTGTGTGGGCATATTTGTTTTGGAATTTGACTTAGACAGTGACAATGAGGACAGGGTAGAAGTGACTGGGAAAGAT